AATTAAATTGCGGTGGACCGGATCTCCACATTACCCAACACATACATCCTTAGTCCTTATCTATGCATTAAAAAATGTATTTCATTTTTTAGAAATTAAAATAATGACATCTCAAAATTATATTACTAGTAATTTTTGATGTAATATGAAAAAAATTAGGTGGTATAAATATAAAGAAGAAATTATATGTTAGATATGTAAATACATAAGAGTCTTGTCGTATGCTATATGCAAAATGCCTCTTTATTTTTGAACAAATAACTTTACTTTTGAATTCTCTTAATGTATATTTGCATTAAAAGTTTTTTTCTTTTTTAAATATTTGAGCAAAGTAAAGTAGAAAAAAAAATATTATATAAAATTATAGTGAGTTTGAAAATAGAGAATTATTTATGATGGATTCTACCTGCTTTGTATGTTGTGTTCTTCGTCTCAACTTTGAGAGGATTTATCAAATTTACGTATGGTGTCTGGACGTAATAAAAAATTCTAAAAAATTTATAAAATTTTAAAAATAAAAGATTAAGATTAATTAAAATTTAGAATTAAAATATTCTGAAAAAAGAGAGAGGAAAAAATTAATGTATATAATGTTCATAACAACAAAAGAGAGTGTAAAAATCATTAGAGGAGAATGGAGAAGAAGGGGAAAAGTGATGTCATTTTCTCACCACGAGAGAGGATGAGGAAGTACTCAAAGAAGAGACGTGAGAAAGGAGTAAGGGAGCTACACAGAGGAGAGGAATTTCTCAGGGCAGAGACGTGAGAGAGGAAAAAGGGGAGCGGGAGAGGAGTTACCTACGGCTAGATTCACGATTCGGGTGAGGAGTTTGGGTAGAGTTCCGAGAGAAGAGGAGCAAAATAAAGGAAGAAAATAATACGTAGTTTCGTATTAAGCTAACCGAAGAAATGCGGGCAGAGGGGTCGAACCCGCGCGATTTTCAAATAGGATTTTTAGCGTTTTCAAAACGTAACGCAGCAAAAAAGCTGCCCTAAATGCACCCTCAATTGACGCAGCAAAGTCTTTAAGTGTTGTATTTAGGCTGATCAATTTAAACTCAGATTGACTTACATTTAGTGTCATTAGGTTTATCTAGTTGAGATGCCCTTTTTAACTATAAATCCTCTGAAATCTCGGGTCTCAGATGAGCCTGCATTTGAATTCATATTGTTTCTAACTCAAAATGCATTGTGATTCAACTCTGTCGATAAAAATTTCTTGATGACTCATCACAGCTAATCTGCAACACCGACCCTAATCCTTGCATGCAAACATACGATCACTAAAGAACACGTGGTCAACGAATTCATTTTAAAATTTACCAAAATCCCTTATTCAATTCTTCTCTCAAATTTATTTTCTTAGTTGTTTGGTTCTACTCACCTTTCTCACTTACTCTTTCTCTTTGAATTTTTTTTTCCTTTCTCTACCAAAACCTTGATTTCTCTTTACAAAAACTTTGTATTTTTCTTCTTCTTCTCAATATTGCTTCTGGTTTGAAAGGAAGGTAATAAAAGGCCGTTTAAACTGACAAAGTATTCATGCAATCATGCTGATATTAAATGAACAGCAAGTGGTGATGTGGATATAACTAAGTTTAAAACCTTATATGTATATATTCCATCTTACAAGTAAAATAATCCTACCAATGTTGACTTCATCAAATCTTCAATCTTCAATAAATGTTGGGCCAGACTGGTGTTTTTGTTTGACTTATAATCAGCCAAACAAAGTCAACACAGATTAGTTTTCTGATTTTGCTTTGTTGATAGGTGGATAATATATCATTTATATATAAACAACAAAAATGCATATTTATGCTGAAAAATGATATCATTTTATATAATGTTAAGAATTCCAAAGTTATATTGAAATGTGTGCTGAAGTAAATGGGGGGAATATTATATATACCAATATTTTATGGGGGCATTTAGTAAAATACCACACAATTCTTGTGTATTTACATATATCTAGCACCTAAACAATCATGTTTACATGTATACCGCTCAAATGTTTATTATGGCTATCTTTAAATATATTTTTTCATGCACAAGATTCTTGTGTATTTACATATATCTAGCACCTAAACATTCATGTTTACATGTATACCGCTCAAATGTTTATCATGACTATCTTTAAATGTATTTTTTAATGCATAAATTTATTACACCATGCAGGAACGAGTGTAAATATCAAATTTTGGGTTGGGAAATGTAAATACATAAGAATTATGTGAAAAGGTTATATGATGTTTTAATTTGGATTTAACTAATTTTTAAGTATTTTTTTAAAAAATATTAAATGAGAATATCTTAATAATCAATAGTTATATTTGAATACAATATATATATATATATATATAGAAACTAATGTACACAACACAAACTTTGAATATAGAACATTAATCTTGAGTCAAATTCAATTTTTTTTAAGTCTATCTTGATGTAAATCAGGATATCTTATAAATAAATTATAAGAGATAATTATTTTTTATTGTAATTAAAGTTAAACAAAATGATTTAAACTTGGTTTTGTTGTCATATAAATGCATTATTATCCTGTTAGTCTTCTCTAATTATGTGGATTTCAAATGATCTACTCTTTTATTCCTTCATATTTACTATTTTTCAGATAAATGCAGCATACTGAACTATCTGTCCTGGACTAGGTCAAGTCAAATTTGCCAACATATATCAATAATTATTTTGAATTGGCGATTTCATTAAGTATATAAATAAATGAATGGTCAGAAGCTAGTATACGAGTCTCCAACCACTCATATCGTGCCTAACAATTTGAGTACCATCTCCTTAAGACCAACTGTCCCAGAGGGGATTCAAACCCCCAACATGAAGGGTCTTACACCGAGGATGTCAACCAACAGGCCGAGGTATGGAGCACATCAAGTACTCATATGTGTGTGTGTGTGTCTGATATTAAAAGGTGATTTAATTATTTGAGTAAAAAAAAAATGACACTCCCAAGTGGAGA